TTTTTACAACGTTGCTGTGATTTATTTTCGAGGTCTGTGAGCCAGGATTCTGGGGTTCACTCCTCGGCTCTGGGAGAGGGTGGAGCTGGGGGTATGCGTCTTTGCTTCCTCCTCACACGCTCCTGCTTAGCCCCTTTCTCCACTCTCACGTCACCAGTGGTTTCTTCTCCATTGTCTTCTTTCCAGATCATTCTCTCCTCTTCCCCTAACGTTGCTGTGATTTATTTTCGAGGTCTGTGAGCCAGGATTCTGGGGTTCACTCCTCGGCTCTGGGAGAGGGTGGAGCTGGGGGTATGCGTCTTTGCTTCCTCCTCACACGCTCCTGCTTAGCCCCTTTCTCCACTCTCACGTCACCAGTGGTTTCTTCTCCATTGTCTTCTTTCCAGATCATTCTCTCCTCTTCCCCTCCCCTCCCATCTGTCCTGTTCCTTTCATCTGTCCCTTTGGGTCCTGCCAATGGTTCTCTCACTCCTCTTTTCATCCCTTCTTCCCCTACTGCTCTACCCTCCTCTTTCTCTGCTTCCTTCTTCTACAGCTCGCTTCTTTGCCTCAGCCATCACTCACTTCTTCCTCTCTTCTCTCCTGTCATCCACTTTTCTTCTGGGTTTCTGGCTGGACAACCACTCTCAGTGATAGTTAGCAATGGTCCAGTCATGCTGGAAGGGCAGAACAAATGGGATTCTGCAGAGGTCTGTTTTGGGATGGGTTCTGTTCAATGTCTTCATCAACACTTTAGATATTGGCATAGAGAGCATGATTATTTAGTTTGCAGAGGATACCAAACTGGGAGGAGTTATAACAGGAGTGTTATGAGCAAGACACGCAAAGTCATTCTTCTGCTCTACTCTGCACTGATTAGGCCTCAGTTGGAGTAGTGTGTCCAGTTCTGGGCACCACAGTTCAAGAAATGTGGAGAAATTGGAGAAGGTTCAAAGAAGAGCAAGTATGATGAAAAGTCTAGAAACTATGAGCTAAGAGAAGACTGAAAGAATTGGGTTTGTCCAGGTTGGAAAAGACAGAGGGGACATGACAGCAGTTTTCAAATACCTAAAAGGGTGTTACACAGAGGAGGGAAAACAATTTTTTGCCCTGGCCTCTGAGGATAGGCCAAGAAGCAACAGGCTTAAATTGCAGCAAGGGAGATTTAGGCTAGACATTACGGAAAAACTTCCTACCTGTGAGGGTGGGTAAGCACTGGAATAAATTGCCTAGGGAGGTTGTGGGATCTCCATCCCTGGAGATATGTAGGAGCAGGTTGGACAGACATCTACCAGGAACGATTTAGATGGTGCTTGGTCCTGCTGCCAGGGCAGGGGACTAGGCTTGATGACCTCTTGAAGGTCCCTTCCAGTTCTAGGATTCTAATTCTTTCTTCTCATCCTATCACTTGCTTTCTGGTGTTCACTTCTTAATTCCCTGTCACTCACCTCTTCATCCCTGTATCACTCACGTCTTCTCAGCGTCCTTCCATCATTCACTCCTCTTCCTGGCTCCCTTTCTCTTCTGTTTATCCTTTCTTTCATTTGTTCTTTCCTTTATCTTCCTTTGCTTCAGTCCCTCCCCCAGCACTCATACTTCCCCCATCACTGGTGCATTACATGTCCCTGCCTGGGGCCACCCAAGCGCAGGCCATGCCTGAGTGGCACAAAAGCATCCTTGAAGCGGAAGCAAAGGCGAGCTCGGCCCCTCTGAGGTGCGGGCGCTCTCAACCCACCACATGCAGCAGCCAGTAGATAGACACCAAAGGCAAAATGCATTATCTCTGCCTCTCGCACAGGCTCTGCCCCAGCATAGTCTGTGCTGGGAGGATGGGCTGCAGCAGAGCCAATGGGGCATGAGGTATCCATCATAGCCTGCGACCATCTAAACCCTACAATTCCAGCACCACAGATGCTCTCACATTGTAGCAAAACAGGGAAGAATCAGCAAAGGTTTTATTGGTGTACGGTGGAGGAGCGCTTACCCGGCCCGGAGATGCAGCCAGCTCTGGGGAACAGCTGCAAACACTAGATGAGGAAGGCCCACTCCCGACCTGCAACCCCAGCTCTGCTGGTGCCCCACTCCCCGTCTGCAGTCCTCCCCTTCTCAGCTGCCTCCAAAAGTTCTTAGCCACTGACAGACTTACTGCTTGTAATTTACAGGCAGCAACATCCCCCCTCCCGCTCACAGGCTTATTTAGCAAACCAGAGGCTGGACCCACTGTGGAAATATTCAAGGCCATAGAAACCCCATTGTGAAGCAGGGCAGGGGGGGGGGGGCGGGGGGGGGGGGGGGAGAAGAGAGGAGAGAAAGGGACACTCAGAGTGAATCCAGCAGCCAGGTGTGGAGAAGCTGGTCATTTTCAGCTCAGTGGCATCAGTTCATAGAGACTAAGTCTCCAACTCCCCTGCCCCACCCAACCTCCCCCACCATTGCTCCCCGCTGTGTCCCTCACAAACCTATTGCCCCACCCATCTCAAATCAGCCTGCCCCACCCCTCTAGTCCCTTCCGCCCTCCCCCATCCCAGGCCCTGCCACCCCCGTGGGCTTCTCAGATCAGGAGGTGAGTGTGGTGGGGGCACCAGGACTGGGACCTCCTCCCTCATCTGAAAAGGGCCAGAAGAGCTCTCATGCGCTCCCCCCCCCCCATTAGCACACAACAATAAGTCAAGAACCCCACCTTGTGGCCAAATGGGGAACAGCCTGTGGACAGGCCACCCGCACAGTAAAGGGGGTAAAGAATGGGACCAGATGCTTTTTTCCCCCCTCAGGTGGCCACGGACCCTTGATCTGGATTGGGGTCACAGAGGCCATAGGGGAAAGGAGGGTTCTGTGTCCATCCCCCATGGGTAGGTTCCATAAGCAGCCCACAGGGGCTGAAATCTAGGGCTCCCCCTCCGAGTTGCAATCACAAAACATTTCTAGAGAGACTGTTTCAGGGCAACTCAAGCCTCGCTCACATCACAGGCACAAGTTCAGGGGATCCCCCCCCTCCAATCAGGGGGAGAAGCCAATCTAGCATGATGGGAGTACAGGACAAGCAGATGGAGCTGGGTCTGCTCCCAAGAGGCAGATGAGGGGATACAGGCTGGGGGGACACTGAGCAAATGCAGGCCAAGAGCCTCTGCCACAAAGTGTGTGTGTGGGGTTTGCAACAGTCCTCCCACAAAGGGTTCTGGGGGCCCAGTGTGGAGCTCAGACATCCAGCGTGCTCAGGTATTCCAGCCAGTCACACAGGGATGGTGCCTCCTGGGGGGGCTAGGAGGGGAAAGAGATATATGTTAGGGGATTTGGCTGGAGAGGTTGGGTCCACAGAGTGGAGAAACTGAGGCACAGAAAGCCACAAGCCCTTGCCCGTAAGGCCGTGGGTTCCACCCATACCCAGCTCTGCCAGTGCTCTCCACTCCCAACCTGCAACCTCTGGCATTCTTCACCCCATCCACTCACCTTCCACGCTGAGGGGTCGCTGGGGCCACGCTGCCCTTGCACCGTCAGCAGCCGGACACTCCCACCAGCTGGGTATTCCGGCTCCACCACCAGTGTCCAGATGGCTGAGGGCCACAGGAAGCGGAGCAGGCGTTCCTGGGGATGCCAGTCAATGGGGAACCTGGAGGGGGGAGGGGAAAATCAGTCCTGCCCCCCGACAGGTTGGGGGGGGGGGGGAGAGGAGAGGGGAGAACAGACCTGGTCTGGAGGACCTGGATCTCAGCCAGGAGCTGGGCCAGCTTGCCATAGCTGTGCTGTATCTCCAGGATGGTGCCCTGGATGTCAGCACAGGGCATGGGAGACGGGAAGAGAGGGTTGTGGCTCTGTGGGGCAGACACACACGCACAGAGTCAGATCCATCTAGCTTAGCCTTCAGAATCCCACCCAGCCTGCTTGGCCACTCCAACACGTCCTGGGTCAGACCCAGCTGGGCCATTACTCACCTGCACCCTGGTGCACCCATCCTCTGCCCAGCACAAGGTGACTCTTAGCATCTGGGGGTCAGGTGTCAGTAACTGGGGGACTGGAGTCAGCTCCAGCTCCACTTTGTCACCAGAGGCTGATACTATCCGGATCCCCTGGAGTGTCTCCAAGAGCTGGCAGAGGGCCGAGTTCCTGGGGAAAGACAGGAGGATGCCTAGGTTCCATCCCCTTCAGAGGGAAGTGGTCTAGTGATTAGAGCAGAGGGGGCTGGGAAGGAGGCCTCCAGAGTTCTCACCTCTCCATCTTCTCTCTCCAGTCACTGGCCACACACTCCTGGCTCTGGAGCTCCCCCTGCAGCTGCTGCAGCTCCTGGTGCTGAGCTTCCACCCGGCCCCGCAGCTCAGCCACCTGCTGTGCCAGCTGCTGCTGCCGCTCCCCCAGCTGCTTCTGGATGAGGAGTGGGGTGTGTGTGTGTGTGAGAGAAGGGTGAATAGTGAGATGGGGAAGCAGCTGCCCTGACCCAGCCCCATTGCTTCCACAATCAGCCATCCCCACCTGCCCCCTCCCTCCACAGATTAGCTCCAAGAGGCCATGTGCCCACAGCTGTCCCTCAGAGCAGTACCTGCTCCTTCTGCCGTCTCTCCTGGGCATCTCTCGCCTTCTCCTCAGCCTGGTGTCTCTGTGGGGAGACTAGAGTTGGTGGCAGCTAGGGGGTCCCTGCAAATCCCCTAAGCAGCTAATAGTAGCTAGGAGGTGGAAGTCACAGGGCCCCTCAGCCCAGGACCAAATGGATTTGGTGGCAGAATTGGAATCCCTGGAGGCCCCTGGTAACCACAGTGGGATCCTCACATTCACACACCCAGGACAGAACCATACCTGGGTCTCAAGTCGTGCCAGAGCCTCCTTCAGTCGCTGTGCCAAGTGCTGTCCCTTCTCCAGCTGGGCCAGTACACGGGGTACTGACCCTTCAATGGCTTCTACCCGTTGCTGGTAGCCAGCCTTTAGTTCCTTCCACTGCTGCTTGGCTTGTGCCATCTCATTCCCTGGGCAGGGGGGAATGGAGAGGCAGTGCATCAAATTGAGGAGATCTCGCTCTGAGCCATCCCTGATCTAACCCACTAGTTACACTCTCTCACCCCCCCCTCCCCAAGCCAGGGAGAAGTCTGGGCTACTCACGAATAGCTGTCTCTGTGGTCTTCTGGTCAAAGGGGGCTGGATCTATCTGATCCAAGAACTCCAGCAGGAA